GTGAGCAGCTCTGTTGTCTCAGGAACTCCTCCAGTGACCACAGGGTAGAGCTCCTGCGGGGCAAACCAGAGCCTTACAGTTACTTTGACTGAAAGCACACATATCAAGGCAGCAGCTCTGCATGTGGCAGAGTGTAGAATAATTTGTGATATACTTTAGGATCTGGACAAAAGACAGTGATAACAGAGGCATGCTCTGCTCCTTCCCCTGAAATGAAGTTTCACCTCCCACTTTGTGTCACACAGACTTAATGAAATGGAGGCTGAAGCTGGGGCTGAGTCAGGCTCCTGCACAGTAAGACTTAGGGCACAAAGGACTGTCGGGCTCTCCCACGGGCTGTCTCCTTCCTCTGCTCTTACCTCCCACCTAGGGAATGCACTGTCTCTCTGGAGGAAACTGCCTGTGCTGTCAATGCAACAGTATCTCAGTGACAGAGTGCAATGGACATCAGAACAGTCACGCAAGTGAAGGAGAAACAACACATCCTGCTACGAGTGTGGATCAGCAGGACACAAAAACCCTGATGTACTGCCATGGTGCCCAGTTCTCAGGAAGAGCCAGGCACAGCCAGCATTCAACCAAACTTGTGCTTACCCAGGGGCATCCCCGGCACGGCTCCAAAAGAGTAGCTACAGCAGGGGGAAGTATGCACACACCTCTGCACATGGTCGTGAGTGCCAAAAAACCTACCACGCTGCAGCAGCATTATGTAATGTAAGCATACCAGGTTACACAAACACGGGAAGAATATGTCAACACACCCTTGTACTCTTAAGAGTAATACAAACCTTCCTGTGCCTCCGGCTTAAGCTCCTCTAAAGAGAGCAAGCTACTGATTTGACTTGAACCTGCAGGAGCCCTTTGGAAGCAGGACAGACCAAGACAGTCATGTCAGGCACAGGGTCGCACTCACCCGGTCCAGGTACTGGGGGAGGAGATCAGCCACCAGCTGAGCCGTGTTCTCGCTCACCTCCGACGGCTTCACCACCACGGCATTGCCTACAGGACAGACACAGCACGGCCCCTGAGCCCTCACCCTCCTCTCCCCCACCACCCACCCACCCACAGCCCCACAAAGGACGGGCCCCACCTGCTGCGATGGCCCCGATCAGAGGATGCATGACCAGGACAAAGGGGTAGTTCCAGGCCCCGATGATCAGCACCACTCCCAGAGGCTCATAGTTGATGTAGGCCTCGTCCCGCATCGTCATCAGGTTCTTCTTCACAGGCTGAGGGGCTGCCCAGGACGGCAGCTTCTCCATGGCCAGGTTCAGCTCCGCCAGCACGCCCAGGATCTCGTGGCTGTACGCGTTGGGCCCACCCTGCAGTGACAGGGAGCTTGGGGAGGGGACGGCAAAGGCACCCACCTCCCACACCCACCGTGGGGACAAAAGGTAAATTCTACTGGTTCAAAGTCTCTGACACTGGCAGTGCTGCCCCAAAGGATCCCTGGAGAACACATTCAGTCTGGGGGGTGTGAGACAGAAGCCAAAACTTGACAGCCAGGGCCTGCCTTTGCAGTCCTGCCTTAGACTACCTCCTTCTTAGAAATGGTGGCAGCAGACCTTGGCAGGCCACAGTGGGAGTCAGGGCCAGGGGAGACAAGAGCAAAAGCCACCTGGCACAGCAAAGGCAACCCTTGGCCTTCCCACTTTGCCTTCCGGGTTGACTGCTGTCCATGCAGGGCTGATGGGAGAAACTCCCTGACCCAGACCTTGTGCAGATCCGCATGGAGGGCTGCCAGGATCTCCTTCTCCTTCTCCTTCACCATCCGCTCCAGGGCCTTCAGCTGCTGTATCCTGAACTCCAGCGAGCGGCTCCGGCCTGAGTTGAAGGCGGCTCTCGCCTGCCCCACGACCTTCTCAATCCTCTGCATGGCTGCTCAGGGCTGCGGGGAGACACAGCAACACTCAGCTCACCGCGGGCCCTCCCTGCACACACAGACCGTGACACTCCCCACGAGCCCCGGACACGCTCCCAACCTCCGCCCCAGCTCCAGTGCGGGGAAAAAGCTGTCGCGTTTCTGAAACGCGTCTCTCTGAAACCTTAAATAATTCCCGAGTTAGAAAAGTTTGACAAGGAGCTCGGGGAGCGAACGTTAGTGGGCGCGCAGGAATGTCACGGGGGAAGAACCGAGGGCTGCTCCAGGCAGGGTCTTTTCCCGCATCCCCGCACCGAGCGATGCCCAGCGAGGGGGCGGAACCCCGGGGAGATCTCACCCCTCCGAGGAACCCCCCGGGCACCCCCGAGCGCCAGCGGGGCTGGTGCGACACCCGTGCGACAACCGGTGGCTGCGAGGCGGTGGCTCCCCCCGCGCTGCCCCCGCGGCCGGTCCGGTGCCCCCCGACCCCGGGCAGGACCCTCCGCCCCCGCGGCCCCGCCGCCCACCGGGGTCGCCGCTGCCTCACCCGCTTCCTTTTTCCGTTCACATGACGGAAGCGGAACGGGCGAGGCCGCGGGGCTGCCGCCGCTCCCCTCCCCATCCCGCACCGCCCCGGGCGGCTCTGCGCTGCCCGGGGGTCCCGGTGTGCGGGGCGGCCCCGGAGCGGGAGAGAGCAAAGAGCAGAGCGGGGTGAAGGATGTGGTGCCGCTGGTACCTTGATTCTCGCACCGTCGGGGGATGCTCCGTCCGTGCTCCCCTCGGCCGTGGGCGGTGTGGGGGCAGCGCCGTCCGCTCCAGAGGATGCCCCAGTCCGCCGTGGGGTGGAAGCGGATCTGGCACGGCCGGGGCGGTTGTGAAACGGTGCGGGGCGTGGAGCCGGGAGAGCACTGCGGGAGGAGGGCAGAGTCCCCTCCCCGGGGCCTTATCGGAGCAGCTGCACCCACGGCTGCCCCCTGCCCTCCTTCCAGCCTCCTGAGAGGGAGGAAAGCCGGGCAATGTGGTGTTTTGGGGGAGGCGAAGCCAAGCGGCAGAAATAGCCTACCCGGCCAGGAGAGTCGTATTAACCTTGATACAGCACTTGCGTGGGAACCGAGCCAAAAATATGCAGAGAATGGAGCTGAGACAAGGCTGGGTACTTAAAAATAGACCTGCCACAACTTGTTCTAAGAAGTGCACGGGGATTATTTAAAAAGTGCTTGCAGGTTGTTACACCTTTGGTGCCAGGCCATTTATTGCCACGCTACCTCTAACCAGGCCATTTATTGCCAATGCTCCTCAGCTGGGGCTTTTCCCCACAAAATCCTTGTCCACCGCATCTCTGACACACAGGGCTGGCAGCTGGGTGCTCCTAGAGTGGAGCACCCTTTCCCCTGACAAGTTTCATCTCCTTTTCCCATATCAACACAGCTCTCAATGACTGGGAGTGCCCTTTAGCTCCGCAAGTTGTGCTGAACCACAACTCCCCCCAAACACCAGCTGTGGTCAGTTGGCCTCCCTAACACCTCCCGGGCTGGGGCTCAGTGTGAACATTTCACAAGCTGTTGCACAAATCTCAGCAGCAAACACCCAGCTGTGGGGAAGAATGACATGAGCAACTGCCAATACTTGTGTGCAGGAGGCAACACGGGAGAGAAAAACAAGCTGGGCTTGACAGGGTTCTCCCAGGTGGTGTATGGAAAGATGGGTTTGCATTGAAGAAATCTGTAGAAGTAGAACATTCTTTGCAGGAGCATTACTTGATGCAAACATGCTCTCCTTGAACCTGTCAGCATCCTTGCAGGGCAGGTCAGAGCTCTGTCCAGGCACCACGATGTCTGGAGGTCCAAGAGAAATCAGATAAGGAATTAATGCTACTGCAATCAGAGTAAAAGTCTTGAGCTCTCAGTGTGAGTATTACCTGGGGAAACAGTGCTGCAATGCACCAGCCAGGATGTCAGCAGGAGCAGGGAGATGGATATTTACCTACATTTTCCACAGTGGCCATTCTCCAGAGCTTGTAAAATTCTCACCCTTCAGCCCGAGAGTTTTCATGTCACATCAGTGCTTCTTGTGCTTGGCATCACACATGGGAAGCAAACATCCCAGCTCCCAGTTATCCCAGTGGTCAGCAGGCTGGGGCTGTGCCACGCTCCCACAGAAATGAGACAGCATCCTGGGAGACAGTCCCTTTTGGTCCTTGTCAGGGACAACTTTCAGCCAGTTATGGGCAGGAAACAAAGCTGAGAGTGTTTTAAGTGTTGCAAAATACTAGTTGAGTCTCCCTGGAGCAGCTGAGATATCAGGGAAGTGTGGGATCTGGAGTGAGACAGAGGAGTACCCCAGACAGTACCGGTGAGACACGTGGTCTGCAGTGTGCTCCCCACGCCTGGGAGCTGGCAGTGTTCTCTATTTTTATTCAGTCACTAAGAAACAATAAAGGGAACTATTTATGGGTAAATAATGGAACTCCACAGGAATCAGGAGGTGAGCAGTGCTGGGGGGGTTCTAATCCCCAGGGCTGTACTTACAGCAACAAGAGAGGTTTCACTGAGCAGCTGAGCTCAAGACTCCCCTCTCCCCTCATTCCTCAAAGCCCTTGCTCCCCTTTTGGAGTCAATTAACTGCAATGAGACAGGCTCCTGCCCTGCCCTGGGGAGCAGCCCTTTGTGCTGGTCCTTGCCCTGCTCCCAAAAGCATCCAGCAGAGCCTGGGGAAGGAGGACTTTGGTTTGGAAGATAAGCTGTGCAGTATTTGGTTTCAAAAGTCCACCAAAAAACCACAGCTAATCAATAAATATTTGTTTAGCTTGCACACCACGCTCGCAGCACTGTAAGTTTTCAGCTAGGCTGGCAATCCTCAATTTCTGCTTACATGTCTGCCTAACCTCAATTCCAAGTGTTCCAGAAGTCACAGAATCCGCCCAGTGGCACAAGATGGGCAGGTACAAAGTGCAAACAGCACTCAAGCATAAAAGCGGGCACAGAAGATGAACAACAGGGAGAGGTTTTAAGGAACCTGCAGGAATAAATAGAGCTCAGTTCATTTATGGCATCACTTGTTTTGAAAGCTGTGGCTGATCTCAGAGTGGCAAGAAGGAGATACTGTGTCGTACAGAGCCGTGGTCTGTGGGCTGCATTGTAGACATAGCTGGGGCCATGGAAAATGTGAAAAGCGACACAAAGAAACAATGGGAGTGATTGGCACAAGGACTGCAACAAGACTCAACAGCCCCACTGGCACTCGGTTTGCTTTCAGGCAGAGAGGAGGGGGGAGCCTGCCGTGCACAAAAGCCTATTGAAAAGGTGTTTGTCCAAAGGAGCAGTGCCAAGGCTCAGTTCCACCGGGCTCCAGCTGACTTGGAGACCTCAGGAGAGGGGTTACCCGGATAGACTTCACTCCTCTGCAGAAAGGAGGAGCTATGGGAGCACTCTGGAAAAAGCCACAGCCAGGGCTATGGCTCAGTCAGACAGGGAAGTTCAGGATAAAAGGAGATTTGCTTAAAGACTTAAAAGGTGTCCTGGACAGTCAAAAAAAGATAGTAGCAAGCAGAGCTCAGAGCAGACATAAAAGTCAAAGGATTAGAATTAAAATTAAAAAAAAGAAAAAGGAGAGGAAACAGGAAACAAAAAGGAGGTGGGTCACAAGTCAGGTCACAAGCCAGCCTATCTGAATTTCAAAGCCTCAACAAGCTTTGGAAGCAGCAGGATCCAGCTTTCCTTGCTCCAGAGGAAAAGCAAGCTTCACTTTTGGGTGCAGCTGAGCACGGCACCATGACAGGGTGAGTCACAAGTTATTGCCTCTGAACCCTGAGATGACACAGCAATACCTGGATGGAGCTGTAAAAGCAAGTAGCAAGAACTATGCAGAAGGTAGCAAGTCCCTGAAACAACTCACGCAGCAAAAATGCTTCTTGGAGTAACTTGTAGCATGTTAGTTGCAAGTCAAATTAACTAGATTTCATTCTCTGCATCAGAGGAAGGGCTGAGAGTTCAACTTGCTTATAAAGAGCAGCAAATGTCAGAGTCAAAACATGTTTTAGATTCCTGAGTTGACAATATACACTATGGAGAGAGAGGAACAAGTACAGAACATGGAGCTTGAGGAGATGCTGGAGAGCTGAACTAGAAAAGCACATCAAATATCTCCTTTCAAGTTCTATCTTTCAAAGGCTGGGGAAAAAAAAAAAGCATTTGGTAAAAACAAGCACCTGCTGTTTAGCGCGGGGAGCCGGAGACAGAGGACAGCTTCAGGATCTTTGTGGAATGAGTTTATGCAGAAAGACAGGCCATGAACATTGGTCTCCTCCTCCTGAAAACAGCCAGCAAGAATGGCCCTTTTCTTCTCCTCCTGTTTGTGCAGCTGGAGTCTTGCTGGCAAGAGGGGAAGGAGAATGAGCTTGAATCCTGAGAGGAAAAAAAAGAAAACCAACAAAAACCCGTGAGTTCCTGGGAAAAGCAGCCTATCTCCTAGTCTCGTGCACTGAGGCTGTTGCTTTGTTCCTATATTTGGGTTCAGACATGTCATTAGCATTCCCTGCTCACTCCTTCCTCATCCTCTTTATGTGCCAGCCACAATAATAAATTGGGAAAATTTTGCTAGTACAACTAAGAAATACAACAGCCACATTAGCAGCTACCACAGCACCGCTCAGCTGGGGAAAGGGTATCAGCTCCAAGGTGAACAAAGCCCATTTTTGGTAAGCTGTGGATAGAAATTGTAACTTCCTGCCAGTTTTTGTCAATTAGCTCTGTATAGGCTGTTCTGGCAGCCCAGACAGCTCCTCTTTGCTAGAGGCAACAAATAAGCACCTTGTTGAAAGAACATACAGCTGTCACCCAGGATCCTACTTAGCATTTTCGTTTTCAAACCCAAGTTAAGGAAAAAAAATAATTAAAAAAGAAAGAAGCAGGGTAAATTGTTTTCCTAAAGCCAGGGAAAACAAACTCGGGGACACTCTGTGCCAGAGCTACCCAGAGATAAGGAACTCAAGGATGCTGCCCCATCCTGCCCTGGTGGCAGCTCCAGCTGCCGAGGGGAACATTCAGCAACTGGTTTAACCAGCCAAGTACAGACTGTTCTCCCTGAATTTAACACCGTTGGTTACAGAGACACAGAAACTCAAGTTGTACCATAGAAACACTTCTAGTGTCAGTATTTATTTTTACCTTAATATACATTTATACAGGCCATAATAAAAAGGCTATTACGCAACAGTTCAGTGAGTTATTACCTAGTTCCAAGAATAATGCATGCAATTACAAAGGAGAGGTAGAAACACCGTATTAAAGACCTAAAAATACAAACATTATATAAACAAACACTTTCAAATTAACTGTTGGAATTTCATACAGATAAATAAGGTAAAAAGTACATTACTCTGTCAAAGTAAAGGAAACACATGGTTATCCGAACACTGAAACAATATTTTGATGTGTAAGCCCTGTACAACTTTGTCAAATAGTTCAGACCACTGTGTTTAAGAGGATTAAAATGATTTTGTCCTGGAGAATGGTTTATTCAAGTATTCAAGCAGTTGAGTAACAAAAAAAGTCCCAAAAGTAAAGTATAGGAACCATTTCCAGAGAAGCTGATCTGCCTAAATACTCTGCAAATCGCTGACCTGATGATCTCATGGGATGCTTGAAATGATAATGCCTATAAGGCGAAATGAAGCTTCCCACCTCTCCCCCAAAATGCACACAAAATAATCCTGATTTTTCACACACTCTATGTAGAGATTCTACATCAATTTATCAGCATCTCAAACCGCAACATTATTTTCTGGGTATTTTTTTTTTTTGCATGGTTCCTGGCAGAACCTTTCAGTTTACAGTATTTATTGTAATACTGCCCGAGAAACAAACTACAGAGAACTGTCATTACACCCCTAAAGACTGCAGGCATTAATGCACATTTCGCATGCACAACAAAAGATGCAACCAAATCTATTATAAAAGCAAACA